ACATAAAAGAAAATGAATATCAGATTCGTGAAATCAGGTAACTCTTTGTGCAAGAGTGTATGAGTTTTGATGAAAAAGGTGGACGTCACAAGCTGGAGCTAGCACTGCTCTGGCGCAAACATGGACGTAATATTCGTAATGTGGACATCACTAACCCTTGTATGCATTAGATCTATTTTTGTGAAAAAGATGGTGTTGCCAAATTGGCGCTGGCATCCAAAGCGAAGGTCATTAGGGATTAGCGACTGAATAGCTCCTACAGGGGAAGTTTCAGCATTTTTTTCCAAGTATTTGGGGAGCTTATACTAGTGGTACCTTTACCTCCTTATCAACGCATTAAGGTAATACACGGCGCCGTGCAGCTCAGGAAAGGCTGAAAAACTGGAACGTCCTAAGAATTGCAAGCTGCTGGGCGCTGACGCAGAATGGTATCCTGGCCCCCGAGGACACATAGCCCCTAATATACAACGCACATTAAGCTAAAATCAGACCCACTCAAAGGGGTAACTTGTTGTGGTGAACTCGCGTGAATCACTTTCGTCTTAGTACATAATTCAACTTCCATGATGAAAGGCAACCTTCGGCCCGATGTTTTAGACCTAACTTTATTAAATAAAATGAAAAACCGTTAGGAAGAGTACCTTGAATGGATTATCGCGATAAGCCTCTTCTACATATTCTGTAGGAAAAAATCGTCCTCTGTCAACAAGTCTGGAAAGGATAGTGATTATCACCTATATGATGTATAGACTGCCTACAAAAACTCACCTGAAAACCAGTTCCACTTCTTTTGAAACAATTTGTCCATGTTTCACCAAGTTGTCCGTTAGATCGTCATTATCTTTGCTAGCCGCTACCCCCATAACCTTAAAGTACCTCGAGATCATGAAGAAATGACCAGTTCGTAGAGAGGACAGTTAATCAAAAAGAAAGCATTCGATGAGAACGGATCTCATGGCTATGGCACTTCATTGCTCATTCAGTACAGCGGATAGACGTCAGCAAAATGTGTTTAGTACGTAATTACACCGTTTACCAAGGAAGCTCAATTGACGGCGCACGTGATTTTGTGGTTTGTTGGAAAGTTTCGATTGGTGTCTGGCAGGTGGATGCACATTGCCTGGTTGTTAGAGCTAATCGTTAAGTTGAATGTTCGCGATGGGAGGGGGATTACAAAACGAACAATTCGTCTGACAGCCTGGTATCGATAGAGGCGGACGTTATGGGCATTCAATCAATATTTGGGACGAAAACAATCAGGTCCTTGAAGCACGAGTCAATACGACCATAAGAAACATTTTAGCTTTATAACACAATCTGATACTTTCTCAGAAGTAAGAACGCGGAGCCAGCTCTCGTCTCATAACCCTGGAAATAGCGCGAGTTCGTGCAACAGTTTGCATCCCTGAGTACATGTCGATAGCGCTTGACACGTGCTTATCACGCCTCGGTTCCGCTGAGGAATCGACCCATCATCTATGTAGGAACAGCTGATGTGTACTTTGAGATCAGATTTCACGACCATCAATCAGTGTGGAGTGGAACCAAGATGTAGAAATTCGCTGGGATTTGGGATAAGGAAAGGCAACAGGTCTTCAAAGAATCGCTTATTGAAAGTACAAAAGGGCATGAGGCTATTGGAGACGTTCACTTCGCTCCAGCGGTAATTGTTGGACCACTGCAATTCTATTTCACGCTTGCCCCCAACCCTTCTGGCGTCTGCCACCACTTCCAAGCTTCTACTTACGCTTGCCCCAACCCTTCTGGCGTTGCATTCCCAGCTCCTCAGCTGCGGCCTTTACATCATGAACTTGCCCTTGGCCTACCCCAACCTATGGTGACCAGAAAATGGTCGAAGATGTTAATCTGAAAATGATTGCGGCAACCTCTTTTTCAAGCAGCTGAAGATTGGCGCGTGTCCAGTGAGGCAAGGTTTTGGCGACCGCCGGCCCAGTCCTCCAAGCGGTCTCGCCCTGACTCAAAAAGTAGTCTTGCCGCCGCCCTTCTCACGCATTAGTGGATTAAGGGGTCATGGTGCGCATAGATGCGGGAAAAATCTTGCAATCCAGACCACCGCACAACTTATTCACGGCAAGTAGTACCTCGCGGTTGCCGCGGATCCTCAAATGTCACCACATCACCACGTGCCGTAATCCATAACGTCATAGACCCCCACACTTCTAAAGTAACCATACGAGCTACTCGCTTCAGGAGCCTTCATAGCACATCTAGTTAGTCCTTCGCTCATGCCCGAGTTCAGCAATACGCCCCCATCCCCCCCCCCTCCGCCGAACCCATCTAACCCTTTTTGACCGTTTTTCACGCCAACTGGAAGAAATCGGGAGATTTTTTATCAATAAGCTTCCATACGAGCTGTATCATAAGTATAGACACACTTTGAAAATTTTGCCAAAAAATTTTTTTTGAGAAAAGTTACTGCATTTGGGCATATAACTAATCAATGACTATCTGCACCATATCACCAAAAGCCGCGAGGATCTCATCTATCTGACGGAAGAGCAGGCTCAAATCAGCGCCCTGCACACAGCAGTCGTGGATCGCTCGCCAGCTGATCCGTTCGTCTTCAGTCGGTATCTGCGTTCGCCGGAGTCCTATGGAGGCAAGGGAAGATCTGGTCGGTCGAAGAAGCTCACTGCACAAGAACGAACGCCAGATGGACGGTTTGTATCCAACTCGACGATGAGCTTCAACGACGTTCGCGCCAGCTTCACCGACGGTCGTTTCCAGAATGACAGTATGGAGAGCGATCAGACGCAACAACAACATTGTGCGATGCCGTTCTTCGTCCCAGCTCCGCGTTTATCCGAGATCTCACAAAGAGGCCTCGCTGGCGATTTGCTAACAACAAATGGTGCGAAGGTGGGGGTTTTTCTGATGCCTTTTTCACGACGAAAATTTTTCTGTTTAGGTGGTGTTCTCCGATGAGAAGAAATTTAACCTGGATGGTCCAGATGGGTACGCCTATTACTGGAGGGATCTTCGCAAGGAGCAGAAGTACTTCAGCAAGCGTAACTTTGGCGGAGGCAGTGTTATGGTTTGGGGAGCATTCCACCGAGGCGGCAAGCTTGAACTGGCCTTCGTTTCCACGAAAAACGGACTGCAGTAAGACTACCAGGACATGCTTGGGCGACATCTGCTGCCATTTCTCGCCAGCCATGGTAGACGAGAGTTTGTCTTCCAACAGGACAATGCGGCCATCCATGTGAGCAGGCCTACCTATGGCCATGGGTTTGGAGGAGAAGAAAACGTAGTCACTATGGACCTGCTTGCTCTCGGATTGGTAAACGGCCATAAAGACATACTGGGGTGTACTTGTCAGGGATATTTACACTTTTAGGAAGAAGTGAGGACAAGGTCTCACTTGTTGGTATCAGCTCTCTTCCCTTGACTCCTCCCTCTAATGATTCGAAATATAAAGTACTAGAAAGGAAACAACCACCACGGGAGTAGGGCAGTGGGCGGGATATCGCCCTCATTATGAGCAGTTGGTGCCCTTATCGTGTATCTTTGGACTACGAGGCGGTATATCCTCTACTTCTGCGGAAGGGATTACCTTGCCCAAAGGAGATGTGCCGTAAGTACAACGTGTTCTTCCGGTTTTCTTAATGTCTGTTTTCTCGCCACTCCGCTCCCTCCTCTTCGCACGCTTCACCCTGCGCCCCCCCTGTGCCGCAGAAAGGGACATATTATCGGTGGAAGGCGGAGCACGCACACTGAAAGAGAAACCAATCGTGGCTCTTGTGGTTTACACATAGCAGCAAAGTTCTCCACTAAGCATCCGTTGTGCTCGCACTCCTTATGCATTCACTTGATCGCTAAGCCACGCGTTTAGAGAATAAAGAGGCACTATTGTAAGCACAAACGATCCTTGGCTGTGGCTCCTGGTGTGTTTGGTCATTCACTGTGCCCTAGTGGGAGTGGTTAATGGTTACAACTTAGCTATACCTGCACCAGGCGAAGGGACTCCAGGGCTTTAAATCTCTAAAATCCACAACACCACGACCTACTTCAGAGAGTGCTGAATTGCTGAATGGTCATGATACAAAGTGTACCACTCCCTAGAGATGGTCTTTAGGTAGTTCTGCAGGTGATGGAGCCAAGCGGAAACCTTGTTGTGTTCATCACGGATTTGGACGATCAACGGGACCATCTAGTATACCAAGCCTCCTTACGCATTGGCGCGCGCTATGATGTAACGATGGGCTGGCGATGAGCCTGATAGACGACACGCATCTTCGTGTCACTTATGGTTGGGATAAGCAGTTCTGCTCTGAGAGCTCCGTTTCCAGTATTGCGCCACACTAAGGGCGAGGGAGGTTCGGCGTCTCGGAAGTTGGAGATTCGAAAACACGTTGAAAGGATAACGGACTTCTGGTAGAGTCGACCCAGCCAACCAGAGACCCCAAAAATTAGATACTTATTCATCCGAAGAACTGTAGAATAGGAGATTGCGGATTCGGAGAATCGCTGATTCGAGATTTCCTCAAATACGCTGCAAGGATATCTACTTGCCAATAAATAACTGGGCCCAACGAGAGAATCAGTGACACCACAACCCGCTTGGGAACAAGTTACATTCCTGCTCCTTCAGTCTTTTTTATGTAGCTCATTTTACCTTTGTTCAAAATCCTTTTAGTAGTGCTTCGTGCTAATTTTACACTTGGCAGTCTGCGAAGTCGGTATGTACCTCCAGCGAACTCTCCTACTGTTCAAATCTCCGACTCGGCAGCTAGAAAGAGGTAGACCTGTACGCATTAGCACGATCTTCAAGTCCCTGTATCTAATACTCTCCTCATTCTCCACATCGAGATGGTGTAATTCGCTGCTGACGAAGGGGCGGCCAGGCGGGATGAGTTCGGCGCGGTGCCAAACCCGTCCGTCACCAGCATGGTTACGTCACATCTTGAACTCTTGTGTGTGGTCCCATGGCGAGGAAACGGGGTTTTTCAGAAGGAGGGAACTCCGAGGTGGGTGAACCACTTATAATCCGTGAAAAGCTGGAATGTGCGAAGTCACAACAGCCACAGAGTGCCATGCGGACGAGAGAGTGCAGAGAAAAACAGAAGATCGACGCGTTTAAAGGGATTGAGTGCAAGTGGTCCGTAGACTGGCGCAGTAACACACTCATACTGCCTGACAGCCCCTTCCTCCGAAGCGAACTACAGTATACATAAACAGAGCTCTTTGTATGGAGCGTGTCAGTGGTTGGTTTTGATCGACGCCTAATTTTCCAGCAACTGTACAGGTGGGGGCAGAAAAAAATGTCACTTTTCTTCATTGACTTTCGAAGCGCTAT